TAACGAGCCAATTTTTAAAAATGTAAGGAGTAGAAAGTACAGATATTTGTGTAAAAATGTAAGGAGTAGAAGTAAAAAGTCGCCATAAAAATACGTAGTAAAGTAAAAATATCAGAAAAATCTACTTGAGTACAGTAACGAAATATTTGTACTTCGTTACTTCCCTTCTCTGGTGAACGGAGAAAACTGACTGCCACTCAGATTTCCTGCGGTACTTGAACAGGTCGTAGTGGAGATTAATCCCTTTCTCAGTGCGAAGCTCAAACGATCTCTTGAGGAAAGTGGATGAAGTTAGCAGGACGACTTCCCCAAACTGGCAAACACTCTGGCGTCGAGGTAGTGGCAGTCAGCAGCTTAAGAACACTCCGTTAACGAGGAAACCATCAGCAGGTGCGTAAGGAGGGCTAGGCGCCTCCTGGTGGAGGAAGGGAGACAAACACAGAAACACAAACACACAGACAGGAGTCCTGACAAAAGTAAGACAGAAATTATAATGTTTGGTTGTAGTCCAGCAGTTTTTCCTCCTGGCTCCTTGGGCCCTCTTACACCTAACATTCGATCATGAGTAAATAATCTTGGTGTGATATTTGATGATGGTTTGAAATTCGATCGGCAGGTTAGTTTAGTCGTAAAAAACAGCTTTTACCAGGTAAGAATTTTATCAAAAGTGAAAGGGTAGCTGCCACACAGAGATCTGGAGACTGTAATCCAAGCTTTTATTAATACATGATTGGATTACTGTAATTCTTTATATGCTGGCTTGGACCACTTTCTTTTAGACCGTCTGCAGTTTGTACAAAATGCAGCTGCCCGTCTCCTTACTGGGACACATAAACATGGCCACATATCACCCGAGCCTCGCTGCACTGGCTCCCGGTTGTTTTTAGGATCGATTTTAATTTTATTGTTTGTTTTGGTCTAGCCCACCAGTATTTGACTATGCTTCTCCAAATCCATGCCCCGGCCAGAACACTGAGATCCTCTAATCAGTTGCTACTGGTCATGTCTAAAACCGGGCTTAAAACCAAAGGTGATCGTGCCTTTATGGAATATTCGATCAGCAGGCCCCTATGAGGTTTTTAAATCCTCTCTAAAAACACACTTCTTCTCCCTGGCTTTCAATCAAGTCTAAACTAGCCAAAATTTTATTTTAAATTGTATTTTATTTTGAAATTTCTTTTAAATGAAACATTTATCATATTATATTTTATCTCCATTGACTTTTTCTTTTCGCATTGTGTTTATGTATTTTAGTTTTCCGTTTTTATCTTATGCTCTGCAACTGTTATTCCTGTACACCACTTTGGTCAACCCCGGTTGTTTTAAATGTGGTTGAGTTGAGACATCAACCAATCAGAGAAGCCGATCTGGGAGCTGGCAGGGAGACCGATGCAGCGCTGCTGATGCAGATCGCTATGAACACTCCTCTGTAACTGTTTATAACGCCTAAATTAACTAAAAATGTTGAAACCTGCTGGCAAAACATGTTCGCTTTTATTATCCTGGTGCTTGCAGTTTGTACCACATGAACAGTAGCAGAAACCCCCCAGCTGCTGCTGGGAATTTCAAATGACAGCGTACGGCTGGTATGTGGGGGTCTGAGCGGCTCCAACAGCGAAATAATATTTATAATTTTAAGGCAGGATAGTAATCTTGATGAACTGAATGCACAGTTAATGTTTTCAGGTGGACTTTCTCAATGAAAAACTACTTTTTACCCACTTATAACAGCAAATATAGCAAAGGCGCTCTCTGCTACTGAACACAAGAGCAGCAGACGCATCCGTACGCATCAGGACACACTTTACTGGACGCTAGTAGACACTCCTGAAGTGCGTCTGACCTTAATGTGTACAAGCTTAAAAAATTAAGCATCAGGTGCTTTTTTGCTGCTTATTGCCGCGCGCGGTCTGAACGTAGCATTAGACTATAGCACAAAGAAAAAATAGAAATAGGGGATATTGCAATTTTTTGACAACAGTTATTACAATCATTGATCAAATACACCTAAAGGACAGATAATACCAGAAATAAGTGCTTAACAAATGTTATAGGTCCAGACTGTTTTATCGGTGGTCTTCACACGGCTGTTTGAGTAATACTTATGGTCTGTTCCGTATTTGTAACAACAGGCATCAAGGGGTTAAAATAGGTTTACTCTTATAAATAATCTGCGTCACATAATTTTAATAATATTTAACATGTGGGGAGTGGCGGCCTAGGCATTGCACCTGGAATCCAGAGGTTCTGAGTTCAAGCCCCACTACCACGGACTCCCACTCTGGGTCCCTGAGCAAAGACCCTTAACCCCACACTGTTCCCAGGGTCAAATGCAGAGAGTTAATTTCGTCGCTCTCTACGTCTGACAGTGTAATGACAATAAAAAATTCTACCACTGTAGTAAAACCAATACTGCAGGCCTGAGGGCAGCCTGCAACCATTAATTTAGCTGGTATTTTGCTCTGATTCGGGGGAATCTTTCTAAAAGTATTAAAACTGAACAACCAAAAGCCATATAATAGTGTGTTAAACATGTGTAAATGTAATTAATCTTGGCCGGATACATACTTTTACGTTGAACACATTATAAAAGATAAGATGAGATACAAACACCATAAAAAAAAGTGATGAATCTCTGTAGATTATCAGTCTGTAAAGGCTAGGCTGTAAAAACAACTAATGGAAAAGAACAAAGGTCCAAATCATATATGTTTACCCTGCACAGTATTCCTGCCCATTTAAACCTTTTTTTGCATCTTGACATATTGCAATCACAGGGCATTTCCAGAGTCTCTGTTAAATATGGGTGGAAAATAAAAAAGGTCTCTAGTTTAGCTAATCTGCACTGAAAGAATGAACTATTTCAGAAGAATCTAACATGCATCCCTGAGAAGCCAATAGAAGCTTCTAACAGATGAGTGATGAGCCGAATCAGTGATTGAACTGGTGCATGAGAAATATTTACATATTCAGAGCTTCTGGAGGGAGCAGCAGGTTGCAATCAGCGCTCCTTGTGCATCCTTAAATAGGTAAACACATGGTGCCAAATGTGGCACAACAGGTCTGGTTTTAAAAAGCCATCATATTTGGACTCTTGTTAGATAAAAAATGCTCCTTCATGTCTCAAGGGAAGCTAGTTAAAACTCAGATCAATTTGACTGTGGTACATTAAAGATAGTTATGATGCCAAAAGGAGAACTAAATGATGTAAAGTATATTTGATTCTTGATCCTTAAAGGTGTGTTTCTGGTACCTTTCCTTCAGAAAGCTTCTTTAAGACTATTGGATATTCAGTGGTAGCATCTTACCAGCAGGGGTCAGAGCAGTGCTAAGAGTAAAACAGACTAAATGACAGCTTGTTCTTTAAAAGGAAGCAGTGATGGGAACTGGATGGAGGGAGATCCAGAAGAGCAACTGAAAGTGATCTTGTTGGGCTTACAGAAACTGTTTTTCTTGGTCCAGATCAGATGGGCCACCTCCCTTCTTCATCAAAAGAATAAAGTTAATGTTAATAAAGTAGCTGATCATGATGACATGACATTTTCTGGGTGTTTATTGGGCATGTTGGACGCCTACATACCCCTTCTGACCAGGGAAAACCTTGCAGTCTACTAGAACGTGCTGGAAAACATTGCTCAGCTCATTAGAGGGCTTCTCTGTTCTGCATAACAATGAGTTTCCTCAAAAAAATCATCTCAAAATGTGCATTTTTCATGTTGAAACATGCATGTTAGGTCTTATTTAAAACCTGTTTGACAGGTTATAAATCAAGTGGCTTGTTTTTTTTCTTTTGTGTCTTTGTTCAAATCAGAAAAGTCGATAAGAGCACTCTCTCTACAGAACACAATTTTGGTAATTCTCCTTGATTTATATTACATGT